AAAATGGTAGTTAATATTGTTTTAATACATGGTAAAAATGTTTGTATCTCTGTAAATTGGTGCAGTGTATTGGGGCTACCACCCTTGATGAATACAGAAAGCACATTGAGAAAGACCCAGCTCTGGAGAGACGATTCCAGCCAGTTAAAGTCCCGGAACCCACTGTGGATGAAACAATACAGATTTTGAAAGGGCTTCGAGAGAGATATGAGATTCACCACAAGCTCCGCTACACCGATGAAGCCTTAGTTTCTGCAGCCCAGCTGTCCTACCAGTATATCAGGTAACTTATCTGAGATAAAATTTGTTTTCAACTTAGCGGTTTTACTTTGTACTTAGGATGATGTTCGATGGACATGCCATTTGAAAAATTAAATTAGTACGGGTTAACAAATGTAGCATAATGATGCTACATCTGCTTATGCCATTAAAGTCTCGTGCGTCCTTCCTGTGGGAAATCAAGTTTTGTTAGAGGTAAATGGTGGGGGGATGAGTTTGGTGGAGTTGAGCATTTATGTCAGCTATTCATACATGTGTAATCTTTATCAAGAATCTAGCTTCAGCTCCATGGTCAGTGAGGCCTTCTTGTATACTTGTTCTGTGTCTTTCAGTGTATGATTCTATTCAGGCATTGAGTACTTGTTCTCATCGTCCTACTCAGTTCTGTGCCTGATAGTTGTATGTTTGCAAACTTCAGTGACCGCTTTCTGCCTGATAAAGCAATTGACTTGATTGATGAAGCTGGTTCTCGTGTTCGACTTCGTCATGCACAGGTGCGAGCAAAACTTGGCATTCATTTAGATTATTTGCCTTTCTGTTTTCCGCCAATTATATTCTTTGAGCATTTTTCAGGTTTATAATTCCTGGACTAGGAGATGCAGGAGACCGTAGCTTTGGCACATGAAGCCACAAAAAAACTGTACATCCAGGCCAGTCATTTTTCCCAATTTTGAAATTTGAGCATATCATCAGCAAAATATTTACCGGCATTTTTTATGAGTTTTATGAGCTGTTTACTTCAAGTGTTTATTAGTCGTTGAGCAACTTATTATGGCTGTCCAAGTAGTTAAATGGATCAAACTTTATTTGAAGCCAAATCCTCTTTTTGACAAGTTGTGTCAAAGCCAATGCTTGTTTGGATTGCAATGTTGTGTCCTCTTTTTTTCATCTTTTGATCTATTTTTGAAGTGCACCCAAAAACACTTCAAATCAAGAGTGTGAAATACATTTTGCGTGAGTAGGATCTCTTGCTTACAAGTGAGCCCCTCCTGCTTGTGTCTAAAATTTAAGTTTTTATTGCTCAATGTGGAAGCAAGACTTGGGTGTCTTTTCTTCTTTGGAAGGGGAATTGGAACTTGAGTCGATCTGTTAGTTACATTTAGGGCCTGTTTGGAATTTTGGGTTTTAGAGGTTGAGTTTTATGACAATAGTATAATGTACTTTCTAAAGTCATGTTTAGTTTAAGATTTGAGGTCCGTGATTTGAATTTTGGTCCCTTAGCAGCAATAGATTAAAACTCACAAATGGGTGTTTGATGAAATTCATGAGGGATATGTTTCAAAAGTGAGAGATTTGACTTTGTAGATAGAAAGATTGTTTTACCCAAAATTTTATCATCCTATTCACTTAATAATGGATATTTTAGTCAATTGAGTAATAAAAAATAATAACTCTTGTACATGATTTCACACGAATTCATGGATCTTAACTATATTTAATCACTTACCATCGAATATGGGATTGGATAAGATAAT